TAGTGTTTTAATGACTGGGAAGGATGACAAAACAAAAAACTAACAAAACAAAAAGCAAAACTTGTACCTCTCAGAACATAAGGAAAGGTACTGGTAATTGGTCTTCAGGGCCACAATTTTGGGGCATCATTTAGAAATAGAATATTCCTAAAATATTCACAATGAAGTAAATTCTAACTCATTGGTTAATAGTTTGCCTCCGGGGTTAAACAGAAGCAGGGTTATTCTACTGAATAACAACTAGGTAGATTTGCTAACTCTAATTCTATAATTTGGAAACTGGACTTTTAATGTATAGTCTTTCAAGAAAGGAGTCCAGGAAAGCCTCAAATTTGCTTCAAGGTAACAATATGAAGCATTTAAAAGCCACCTTTGGCAGGTAGATGAAATTCTTTGTTATATGTTCTTTGTTGTAGTGTATGTACCAGAAGTTTGGGAAATTCATCTTAATCCTGGTGTTAATAAGGTTGAGAGGTGACCATACTGACCCAAGGGAACATTTCTTCTGGTGACTACATATTTATCTGTAGAGATTCCCATCTATTCTGTTTGTCTTGGAATATGTTCCAGTTCTGTTTATCTTGAAATATGTTCCACAATAGACAATGTGGAAGATAACAGAAGAGCCCAGTTTTTGCATGTGGCTCCTACCATTCTCTATTGTCACTGCTCACCATTCTAAGATCAACTTACTCAGCAGTTTGGCCTCCTGCTTACATGTAGGTGCCAGGCCTCAAGACTTTTCAGAAAGAGACCACGGCCACTCTTTCCAGGCCCCAGCTGAGTCCCAGTGACTATGTGTGTAGGTGCTGAGTGACCTGTATGTCAGCCCTTCCCCAGTGTTGAGATTCGTGTCCATTTGTACAAGACTAGATGTCCTGAGGAGGGAAAGAGGAGTTATTGACAGGTTAAAAAATGAAAAGGCGATCTTTCCTTTAAACGAGCTCCCCTCAAAGGGTGCAAATGACCTATGATATTTGACAAGAATATGTTTAGGTAATTCATTCTTCACACAACAATCAAAGACCTTTCAAAACATAACAGATTTGAGATTTATCATACAAAAATACATTCTGTATTTATTTCTTAATTTCTTAATACATTATTAATGCCACCACCAATGTAAAAGTGAGGTCAGAAGAAAAGAAACACTTTAAATCAGTACACCCTCAGTAGAGGAAGTTGCTTGCAGCATAATGAAAGGCTTGCTCTTAAGATGAAGTGATGGTTTAGAGGCCCTTTAGTCAAGACTGACACTAAAACATCTGTAATCCAGAGCTAGTGTCAGGAGAGGAGGCCTGAGTGCTGGCCGTCACCTTGACCATCTGTGGAGGGTAAACATGGTTGAGGACATGGTGGGAGGGGAGCAGGCCGTGTTTGACCTCGGAAGAACAAATGGCATGCTATTTATTGACAAAATGGAGTCAGTTAATTAAAAGAAAAAAGTCTGTGCTTCAGAGCAAACTTCAGGCAACTTCACCCGGCAACCCTTTGTTAATTTTAAGGAATTTTTATTTGTATGTGTGAAGTTCCTTAAACATCTAATTAAAACTTTCCCGCTAACTCGGGATCACCTTCTGCCAAAGTTGGCCTTGTTATGTTATATCAGTATCTTAAAGAGTTAGAAAATGTAAATCCAAGAGGCATATTACTGGAAGTACTTAAATACCTATGTGCCCAAGGGGACCTGTGCCAGATAATGAGAAATGGTGCAAAGAAAAATAAGCACAGTCTTCCTTCTCATGAGGCAGCTTCACTGATGACGTGTAGCTATGCACATCTTACTGAATAAAGAACGATAGTAAGGGCCTAGGAAAGGGTTCAGATTGCTTGTATCTCTTAGAAATTTTGGATGCCAGGCAAGCTGGCAACTTCCTGTAACTCCAGTTACAGAGGGTGCCTGGTCTTCAGGGGCGCACACACACACACACACACACACACACACACACACACACATAAAATAATGACGATGATGATGATAATAATAATAAAAAATCTTTATTAAGGTACAAAACATTGGGTGAAGCCAATCCAGAGCTCCTTTAGAGGTGGTTAAAAAGGAGAAGCTGCATGTCTGCATTAGTCCCGTTTCCACAACTTAAAGGACTGAAACACTGGGCATGGGGAGGTCTCAGGGCAGGGGAGAGGTAGCCAGAATCAGCCCAAGCAGAAGCCTGCTCTATGTTTGGAAATCAACATTGCTTCATCTGTCTGGCAACAAGCACAAAATGGCAGGCAGGAATGGCCAGTGCTCAAAGGCCCCTGGGAAACTCTGCTCTAACCTCTTCTCCTGTTGAGGTCCCAAGAGACCATGACATTTAGCTTCCCGAGAGAAAGGATACTTATGTGACTATGCACAGGCCAGCAAAGGGCAACCAGCAGAGATTGGCTTTGTCGTAGCAGCTTCCTGCAGGTGGGATAAGACAAAACTGAGTAACATTTCAAAATTATGAAGACTGCAGGGGCTTGTGCTTGTGAGTGTATATGCGACAAATCACACTTATGAGCGTGGACATGTCAGTCCTTCAAACATTTACCCCAAGAAATTTTACATTTCTGTAGTCAAAAATAAAATGTAGTATTTGTGGAAAATTTAAGAAGATATAAGCTTCTATTTTTATTTTCCCATTTCTGATGTTTCTCCATTTTGGATACCCTTATATATTGATTTTTCAAATCAAAACCCAAAGGTTAGATCTTAAATCCATGTTAATTCCAGGTTAAGAGGAGTATCTAATTTTGTCATCTTTTGCCTTTTTCCTTATTTGGGTGCATTTTCATTTCTTTATTTCATATTCATTTCTTTGTAATAATGTGAGAGATTAAAGATAATGAAAACATTTTTTTTTAAATTACAAACTTTATGTGGCCAATAAGATGGCTCGGGCAGTAAAAGCACTTGCTGCCAATCCTAATGACATGAGCTTGATCCCCAGAACTGGCACAGTGGAAGGAAAGAACAACCAACCTCAAGTTGTTCTCTGAACTCCACATATGTTCTCTCTCTCTCTCTCTCTCTCTCTCACACACACACACACACACACACACACATACACACACACACACACACACACACACTAAATGCCATAATTTTTAAACCACAAACTCCACAGTAGCTAAAATCTCTAACTAGCAGACTGATCACAAATGAATTGACTATCTGTGTATTATACACTCAGATAGGCACTCAGATAGATGTCAAGGATCTTCATAAAAATGGCAGACTGGCACTCATCATTAGAAAGAACCAAAGGAGTTCTTTGGTTCTAACATTTATGAAGCTGCTATGATCTAAAATAGAAAGATCACACTAGTGAAATACTTGGGTTAGTTGTACATGAAGGCCAAACAAACAAAAGCATCTCATTAGAAATGTGCTTCCAAGTGAGATTATGAATGGCTGATCCTCCTAGAATGGAAAAAGAATTCCATAATCCTAGCACTTGAAAGTCTGAAGCAGGAACCTTGACACAACTTCAAGGCAGCATGCATTATATAGTGATTGGCAGGCCAGCTTAGGCTACACAATGAGACCTTTTGGCAAAACCAACCATGACCAAAAACCAATAGTTTGCTTGTGGCAGGTCTGAGTGATGACACTGAAGAGTGACTATTGCCTGAAATGTGACTGATATCCTAAGCAAGTCATTTCAGTGTAGAGAAGAGAGCCGCCCTCAGCCCTGAAATACTGTGATGTGGTAGGAAGGGTGGACACGGGCACAGCTAGCTGGTCTGGGTCCCTCCTATGCTTCAGATGAGCTGTGGCCAAATCCCTCTGATTTTCAGTCTTACAAGTGTCCAAGTGAGGTACATCTCCACAAATAATTTATCAGGAGATCAAATACCAAAACTTTGTCGGGTTTCTGGTAGAATGCTGAACTCGTTGTTGCATCTCCTGGTGGCTCCATCCCCTTCTCTGAGAGTCAGAGGGTATAGCAGCGATCTGAAGACCTCTGTTGGCTCCCCAGCCTGAGGCAGCCCATGACACCCAGCATTGCTCTGTATCTTCCATTCTATATGACCAAAAAGAAAAGCAGTGAATCAAAGCTCAGCTTTCTTAAATGGCAAATGTTGATGTATCTGCCAGAACCCCATGTTTTAATGGTGTATTCCCATTTTCCAAGCAGGAGTTGAAAAGGTTGTTCTCAAGAACTGTCTAACAGGCAGTCACTTTATTGTTGAAGAATGAGATGATGATAAAGAAATGAGAGACATCATGGAGTTCTTTTGGCAAAGCACCAAGAAAAATATTACCTTTTGCACACAATGTTTTCTAGTTAAAACCATCTTAATAAATTCAACAAGGAAATGTGGAAATGTAAATTTCACATATGATCAGAAAAGACATGCCTGAAATAATAGCCAAGGCTGTCCTAACGTGGAAAATTTAATCTCCTCCTAATCCACTTCTTTCCTGTTCTTGTTAAGCACAAGGTAGGATAAATAGCTTCATATATGTAACTTGCTTCTCGATTAAATGTATTTCTGGTTGTATTTTCATGTTGTTGTCTTCATGTGGTTTCAAATAATAACTCAGTGTTGACCTTTTGGCACAGTTACGTTTGTAAAGTTGAACTATTGAGTATATGGGTTTCTTCAAATGTGTTAAGCAACTGACCTCTATGAAGAGCCACCTCCCACCCTGGTGGCTCTACTGTTAGCACTGAGAGCTACTGATGGCAAAATTGAACAGCTGCTATATTGTGTGCCAGCCGCATTCTAAATTTCAAGAGCAGCATCCTACAAATTAGGAGGAAAGTCACCAATAACAGCCAAATGGAGGACACCAGATTAAGGGGACAGTCAGAAGGGAGGGGTTCTTTGTTAGATGAATGGATCCACTGGGTTCAGTAGCCTCTCAAATCCCCTTTCTGCAGCCACCAAGCTCCCCTCTGAGCGCACACTGTACCACATGGTTAAACAACAAAGCTCATGGGGTGTTGGCTCTAAAGCCAACAGTTACAAGAGGGAACTAACCCAAGTATCATGACTCTTTCCAGGTAGTAGGTGTAACCTTGAAGAAAAAATGGCACTGTCTTCAAAAAAGTGACCTGACCCTGGCTTTGGTGGGTTTTTCTGCAAGAAATGCAAAGCCCCGCATGTGTTTATGGTCCAACCTTTCAGCCGACCACTGCTTTGTTCTAGAGTTCAGCATGAAAGGACTTATTTTTGTTTGGTTTTTGTTTCTGTTTTAGTAAAAAGCATGTCTCTTGCTAATTCTAGCTATTATAGTTGCACATGTAAAAATTCTCTTTGTGTAGTTTATAGATTGGTAGCATTTCAAAGAAATGATATTTTGAAAAATTCCCCTGAAATTTTTTGAGATGCTTATCAATTGATATCTTCCTTCTCATCGCAAGAAGAGTCTGAGTTACTGCTTTTTAACTATACCTTATAATACTAGATTTGCTCTTTTCAATATAGTAGGGATGTGAATATAAGCATGCCACTTTGTTTATTGCTGTATTAGTAGAATGTCTTAGAGCATGGAAAGACTTCTTCACAAAAAACTTTTGCTCTTGAAAAGAAAAGTTACAGACATAAATGTTATAAAGTAGATTTTTTCTATAAATGAGCACTGATTATAAACATATTGTAAGGTTAATAGCATGCACTGTTTCAAACAACTTTAATATATGAAAGACATGCTAAACGGCTTAATGGTAGCCCATACATCTTTCCTCAGAATTTAGAATTGTGCTATTATCTATTTTAGGAAAGTCACATTACTTCATTAAAGAGGAAAACTGGAGTTCTTGTCTACCCCAATTGGCTCTGCAGTGAAACCTCGTTTCCCTTTATTCTTCCAGAAGTCAGTGAGTCTAAGGATCAAGGCCACATAGTCTTTTGATAACACATATGAAAATTATTATAACTGATGTATCTAGGAGATAAGCTTTCCAGTACTTGCTATCCCATCTTGAAAACAAACACATGGTCATTTAATAATGCAGTCATTAAGCCAAACCAAAGCTACAGAACTATAAACACACATATTAACACATTTTAAGATCCACACATCTTAAAATCTGTTAACTGTACAAAAAGGTTTCCTTTCTCCCATAAATATAAGCTATAATTTGCTACATTTTAGGAAGTTAGAACCTGAGAAAATGGGGGGTTTGCTCCCTAAACGGGACCTGCTTTCTACATGTCTTTGGAATACCTAAAATACTAATATAATTGGAGCCCTTTTGCATTGTATCAGGTGAGGCTACTGAGTCTTAGTGAGTTCTGGAGTTAATTTCCTTTCCGGGCAGTGTTCCAACAGACACACACACACACACACACACACACACACAGCACCTGTCCATGTGTCTTTTTACTTGTGAGACAGCTATATCTTAAGTAGACTGACAACACAAATATTATGTGTGTAATTAATATAAAATTATTTTCTCCAGGGAGGTTCTGCCAAAGAGACCTGAGAAAAATCAAAGTTTTTGTTTTGAAAATATTGAGATTATTGGGAAAGCGATGTATTATTTTGTTTTGCTTTGCTTTGTTCCATGATGGCATCCCCATATTTACTCTGATAAACTTGAAAATCTGGTCAGCTGAAAGGACAGAAGGCTGACACCCCTGGCTGACTCATGATTCTCCTTATGTGAGACAAACTGACACCAGATACAGCGAGATCACTGCCCCAGTGGGAACATCTTACTTATATACTTAGAGAATTCAATTAAAAGACATTTCTAAAATTATGCTGAAGTTCCTTGGTCTCAAAAAGCTTACAGGAAGAAACTTTACTTCCTCAGGTCAGTCCATCTCACAGAACACCATAAGGAACACCCTGGTATGTGAAGCCACTGTAGAACAATTACAAGATGAAGTTTGTATACACCTTATGCCAAATTCACAGAAAAATGAGATTCCAAAGACCACTTTGCCCTAAACCAAAGTATCTAGGGGCTATCTAGTTATAATGTACAAATGAACACAGCAGGAAAGTCATAGCATGCTAAAATTGATACTATAAAAATATGTTCATATCATGTTAATTGCCTCCAAATATATTATACATATAAAAATACTATGTTAAACAGGTCCGCTGTAAAGGGTGAAAAGTAGCTAACTAAAAGTTCACAAATAATCTTTCAGATTTTGTGTGTTTTCTCCTCAGCCAAAAGCCTCAAGATTCCCTGGCAGCAGCCCATCTCTTCACTCATGTCGGATTGCTCTTTAAACATTAGCCTATCTTGTCACAAATAACTTCAAGACGCCTCCTGACACATTCGTTGTTGATTTCACTGTTGTAGGGAAAAGGCTCTAGGGCTGCCGATAAGGCTGTTGCCATGGTGATGAAGGAGATACCGAGGGAGGAGTCTGCAGAAGAAAAGCCCCTCCTTACTGTGACATCACAGGTGGGCAGACCCATAGGGTTCCTGTAGGAAGCTGACATATGTTAATGTATCAAAAAAATGTAATCATCAGCTAAAAAAAAAAAACTAACTCAAGTCAATCTTTTAAATCAGTTTCAATGAAACAATTGTACAAATATGAGTGAAAGCCAAAATTGTAAAAGAAAAAAAAAAAAAAACTAGTTCATGATCATGAATATTTATTTTCATTATTCAGCATTAGTTTTAAAAATTAAGACAATATGCGTGCAAGTATAACACTCTACTTCTTTAAAAGGAGTCTTACAGTAACTTTGAGAAATAACAATAACAAGCAAAAAAAGAATCAAATTCCTGAATAAATACAGTCATTTTATATACATATGTCAGTTTACCAGTAGATGCTCTAAATTTTCTTAAATGTTAACTATATTTCTGTTGTGACTTTGCGTACTACACATTTGTCTATACATATTTATGTCGATAACTAAGTTACAGGAATGAAACGGAAGTCCCCAAGTCTCCATGCAGAAAATGGCTCTTTGCTCCTCTTCACACTTGGTGGCCTTGATGAGGAAACACCGTCTCTATTTTGAGCCCTGAAGGGCCATTTTCAGCCTTTATTGCAACACACATTTTTTTTTTTAAGTCTACGTTTGTCTTGGAAGGCGTGCTGAAACTAACTGCTCCTGCACATGCCCGGGGACTCCCGAAACACCCTGTAAAAGTCTCCATAAATATCTATGGCACGAATCACCGCCACCCTGTGCAATTCCCAGTTTTAAACTATGAGACGAAAAATATTTTTTCTTGCATTTTATCTTATAATTTAGATTAGGTTGTTATGTTAAACATTTCATTTCTTCTATAACGCATTTGTAAATGCAGCGATTCTCTTCCGATTACACTCAGGCCTAGAATTAGAAAAATGGCCATTTACAGCCCTTGCGAAGCGCATTTCTGTCAAAAGCTAAATTATGGCGGCTTATTTTCAGAATATCAGCAGATCTGGTCCCCAGCTGCTGCCAACATGTGTGGTTTTATTTTATTCTAAATGCCACGTTGTAAGTAATGAAAATTACATAACACCAAAATTGGATAAATTTTTAAGTTATTAAAGATTTCTAGGATTGGGAAATAAATTTCATGTTGTCACAGTGGGTTTGTTGTTGTCCATAAAGAAAAGATGCTTTTTCTTCAGTGTCATAAAGTTGACTGTCCTTTACTGAGTTGATATAATGAAATACATATTATTTTACAATGATCACCTGCCCATCAGAGTCAGACCTTTGTGAATTCCATACGCAAATTATCCAGCCCATAATACCTCTGTAAATGATTGGCAGGTGAGCGCTTGGCATTCCTGGCAGGTGATGAGCCTGTGCTATTGTTGGTTCATGTGCATCTTGGGATTTCCACAATTAAAACAGGCTCCAGTTGTCTCCCAGCCCTTAAATTTTGTTGTTACTTCCCCGTAATCATTTCCACTCATATGATATTATCATCATAGTCTCAGCTTGAATTCAAAATTTCATGCACAATTATGTTTTTAATTTTTTTTTAATTTAGAGACGAAATCATAAATATCATCATCTTCTCACATTCAGAACATTTGTGTGTGCCAGGTTCCTTTTAAATCTCCACCTAGTGTTGTGTTGACTGTTTCTGAGACATGGATTATGACTTTACTGCATGAGGATTGTGTAATGCTTTCTTTGATGCTTCGTATTCTTACTGCATAGTGGCCAGTTTATGAATCAGCAGGCAGAATTCTGATTCATAAAATGTGATGCACCTGTTGTGATAATAATTCTATGGAACTCAATGACAGCTGTGATAGAATAATTTCTCAATCAAATGTAGGTTTATTAGGTGATATGTTTTTTTTACATCACACAAGTGGCTTTTCCCCTGGTATGCACCAGTGGCATGCACAAGCCAAAAAGAAGCAGAGGGAGCTGAAAAAGTGAGTACTTCCCACGGCCACCACGGCACCCAGTTTGTCTGCCATGCCACAGTTTTTTAGTTGTTAACCTGTGTGATTGTACCAGTGTCTTGACATGTTTGTTTCAGTGTCTCTTGTAAAGTCCCCTGGGGCATAGCACTACACATTGCTGAGCATAGGGACTGTCTTCATCCCTGGTATATCAATGCCGGCTGTCACGTCATAGACGCCAGATAAGTCTGACAGTTGCTACCCTCTCAGGATAACCACAAAAGATAAATACAGAACAAGCCACTGTATCCCCTTACCTCATTCAGTAACTCTTTACTCAGCAGCCCCATATTTTAGCATTTTAGGACAGTGATTATAATGGTTTGTTCTAGAACTTTTAGGTGGATTTAGCTAGCCATGCTCCAGTGAAAGCATCTTCAGAAGATGGAATAATGCAGAAGAATTAGCCAGATGATCAGATTCAAAACCTAGACCCCAGAAAGTATAATTAGTAATTCTATAGAAACAAACAAATTCAAGTTCATGCTGTTCTAAATTAATGCTAACTCAAATAATTTGTAAACAAGAATACACTGATGATAGATTTGAAGGAAAAGCACATACACTGCCAAATCTTTGAGGAAAAACTTCTCCCAGCCTGTGCTGTCTAGTGCCATAGCCACAAGTCTCGTGGCCACTAAATACTTCCAGCTCCTGGAATTTGAGACACGCTGCAAAATTTTTGAAAAGAAAAAATGTTTTGAAGGCCTAATTCAAAAATATGCAAACTATCACATTAATATTTATTATTTATCACATGTTGAAATATTTTTGGACATGCTGGATGAAATAAAATATATCATGGAAATTATTTTTACTTGTTAATGACCACAGAAGGTTTTTAGAGTGTAAAGTTGTTATTGTTTGCATCAAGCAGCACTGCTGTGAACTATAATGCTATAAGCAAATCTAATGTTATGTAGCCATGTTCCCAAAGATTATGCCATTGAAAATGAGGATTTTTTTTTTTAAGAAGACTAAAATGGCCTTAGTGAGTACATTTCTCTCAGAAGGAAACTTGAGAAAGTTTCATTTTGACATATTTGGTTTCCTGGGTTGTTTTTTTGGTGCTTTGTTCTTTGTTTGTTTTACTCAGGGTGTCCTCAGCTCCTTTTTTTACAGAGTGCAGTGTCTTAGAATTGAGTTTCATGTCTCTTCTTCCTATAGGGCTTTTTTTTTTCCTTCCTGGTCCACCAATTTGCTCTATTTGTTCCCACTTCTTATTCCTCAATAAGAATTAGTTTTTCTGTATATGATAAAGGGAGAAATAGCAATGTCCTTGACTGGAAAAACATTCTCAAGGTGACTAAGGGTAGCCTCATTTGGGTTCCTATCATCAATTTAAAATGATTGCCTTAATTATATGTACCTACCTTCCTTAATAGTATCACTGCCCAATTGTAGAACAATATTATCAGTTTCTTTCCTCACAAATGGATTAATTTTATACATCTAACTGTCCTGCCTGGAGAGTCTGATCGTCTGATCTTTAGATTAAGCCAAGGATTTGGAGGATGTTTGACCATGATAAGAAGAACTAACACAGCTATGAGTCTGGGCTTGGTCAGTACTGTTAGTACACAGACACCTAATGCCCTCAGGTATCAGAGCAGCTGAGGCCAGGCTCTGAAGTTAGACTGTTTAAGCAATGTGTGACAGTTAATTTAGCTTATCAATAGCCTAAGGCAGCTCATATTCAATATTAGAGAATTCCCCACATAAGGTCACTATATTGCTAGACATTGCATGAATCCTAAACTTGCATGGAATTAAGAAGCTATAGAGTAGTTCTACAACAAAAATGATAAATGAAAACATATTCAACAATGACATACACTGCAAACACTCAACAATGTCACACACGATGTGACATTTGTTTCCTATAGAAACAAAACAAGCTTTAAAATGCTTGTTGCTATAATATTTTATGTCAACATTACAAACATGAGATCATTTATCAATTGATTCCAGTTTATAACTAGCTGCCCAGGTTTTATTTCTGTTGCTAGGACAAATACCCTCACAAAAAGTAACCAGGGGCGAAAAAGAAGTTTCTCTGGTTTACAGGTCCAGATTGTAATTTATTACTGTAGGGAAGTCATGGAAGAAAGCTGCAGCACCACATCCACTGTTAAGAGAAAAAAGACACTATGTGAATTCTTGATTGCTTGTTCTTAGCTAGCTTTCTCCTTTCTTGTAATATTCAGGATCCCTTGCCTAGAAAATGGCACCACGCACAGTGGCCTGGGTGTTTTTACCTCAGTTAACAATCAAGACAATCCCATACTGACATGCCCACAGTCCAACCTGATCTACATATTTTTTTATTAAGACTCTCTAGGTGGTATCAAGTTGACAGTTAAAGCTGGCCAGCACACTAACCTTACTGTTTTAACTTTAAAAATTTTTCATGTATTAAAACGCTTAAGCAACTGAGAACAGTATTTACAGTGTTGCCATAAATCAATGTCCTGTATACTATTTGATTATCTGAAATACCTTTTGCTTTATTGTTAATGTCTAGTGGTATGTTGACACAAACTTTTAATTCTATTTATTTTAATAAAACATCTAAGTGATAGATTTATTCAAAGATACATAAAATTAAATTTTAGCCACAAAGTAAGCAGCATAATTATGCACTTTTATTTAAGCAACATAAATTATTTAAAAGTAAAATATTTTCCAACAAGGCCATAAATTTGAAAAGGAGCAAGGCGGGGTTGGAAGGAGGAAGGGGAAAAGGAGAAATGATGTAACTATATTATAATCTTTAAAAAAATAAAAGAAATAATTTTTAAGTAAAACATTTCCTTAAAATGTGGTTCAGATAATAAGTTTTGTGGATCACATAGTAAATTTTAACTTTTAAACACTAAAACTAGAGGAGTTGGAGTGAAACTAAGGCAAGGGTATTTTCAAATGAATTATTAGGATAATAATCCATTAGAGTTGAGTGCTGTTACCTGCATCTTCATGGCAACATATACTGACCACGTCAACTGCCCAGTCTTATTAGGTCACAATTCAGTTGAAATCATTTGACTGATTATTTGATTGCCAATAAAGAATAAAGGCCCAGTTGTTTTTTGAATCCTGATTTACAAGGAAGCCCTCAATGCAAATCCCCACCTACTTTCTTCTGTAGCCCCCAGTTTCTGTGTCTGCTGAAGTATTTTCCTTCAAACTCTCTAGATTCAGGTTTCTGACTAGAAATTGGAATAAGGGTAAGCAGATTTTGTCTTAAGGTGCCTGTGCCCTCCTGTTCACCTATGTCCATGTCCTTCTTGCCAGTGATGGTGGTGCTGAGCTGGTATAGGCCTGAATGTCCACTACTTTAGATGTTGACTTTTGGCAATCTTCACCTCTTCCAAAAAAAAAAAAAAAAAGCAACCTTGGTAGCATTACAGAATGTTCATTAGGTGCCACTGTATTACCCACTTAAAAGACAATGGGCTTGAATGTCTAAGTTAAGGCGTTCTAGGAAGTTTCTAAACATCTTCAAAGACCACTGATCTCTTCTTTATGGGTTAGTCAAATTCAGTATCACATCCAGGATGCCCGTATGATCATTCTATTGTACAATCAACCAGTTACACTGCATAAGGCTGGTCTGCACTTATTAAACCACTACTAGAGTATGCAAAAAAAATTAATGAAGTCTCTAATGTCATGGCAGTCATAGTCTAATGAGAGTAACATTAACGCTAAGATGGTGGTACTACTAGAGCCTTACACATGCTAAGTACATGTTCTCCCTCTGAGCAACATCCCCATCGACCTCTGAACCAATGCAAACACCTAGAAGAGGCCACAGGTCGATAATAAATGGAAATGTAAAGATGTAAACAGACTGAGACAAAAACCTCACACCTAAGAAACTGAGCCTTTAACTCAGCTATAATAATCTGATTCTCAAAATTACAACCACCTGACTCAATTATTAGCAAAAAAGTAGAAACCTTTGCGTCACATATTAATAACTTAAATGTGCTTTGTACCAAAAGCCTTAAATGGGGGAAATTGATAAAGCGTTTTCAAATGAGCTGAAGTAACTCTAACAGCCAATAAACCTTCTCCCGCTGGTGAATAAGGAAAGAAGCCATAACACATACTTTGAAAATGAAGTTTAGAAGGATTATTTGGGGATTCCATTTAATTTGAACATTTCCTTTATGACCTGAAAGATTTATTTATTCTTGAATCACTACAAGAAAAACCACCTGCTTGTTTAAGAATGAGAAGGAGGGCATGGAAAGCCAATCCTGTCTACAAGTTAAAGATACCACTGCTGAGATTAAAATAATGCTACATTCATAAAATGAAGATACAGTTTACTTGGACTGTGTGAGATACATATTTGTGTCATAAGTTCTTGCCCAGCCATTGTCTCATTTGTCAGCCATTTCTTGAGCATCTTTTGCATGAAAATTCCCCTCTAGAAGCTCTGAAGGATGTAAATGAGTGAGCTGTACTTATGTCTAACCTCAAACCCTACAAGGGCATCTTCCTTTTTCTTCACGATGTCTCTTACCTCATCCTCTACATCTTCATCAAAGCCCAAACTCTTCCTGACCCATTTTAATGGCTGTTCCATGCTGTCTGTCATCTGGCCTTTCATCTTCTTCACCTGGAACCCTAACATCGCCCCACTTCAGCCAGAGCACCACCACACTGATCCAGCCCCGGAAAAGCTAACTCTAAAGGCTGTTCATTGTGTCCTCTTGTTTTGTGTCTTTGGAGCAAAACCTCAAGAATAACATAGTGATACGATGTGGCCATCATAATGCTCCCATCAATCCTGGAATCAGAAGTTGTCAGAACAGGACAATGGACACTGAAGAGCCACTGCCTGCAGAGGCAGGGGTCTAGAAGACTGGAGAGCCAGGACTCTGCGATGGGTTCTTGGAATCTTTCTGAGCCACCATCCCTTCCTGTTCCTCCTGAGCTGACTGAACCCAGAGGGCCACTGGTTCTTCCTTCAGGGATCCTTCCATCTGAAATTTGAATGAGTGACTCACAGCAACAAGATGCTATTGCCTTTGACCAGCATGCTTTCCTGAAGGAAGTCCTTATTCAATAATGCCTTTCACTTGCTCCATTTTCTTTTTCTTTTTTTCACTTAGATGTTGATATAAACAATGTTTTTTTTCTGGAATTCACTAAATATACAGGGTGGTTTTACAGCATTAAGAGTATGTACAGAAGTTAAAGACCCCAATATTCTAAGCTATAGTAACGGAGGCCTATTCTGCATGCCATGTACACAAAATCAGGATTCAGGGATAAATTCTTAGTCCTATGTTATTGGGGGGGGGGAGAATGGAGTACTAGAGAACATTTTTTTGCAATATAACTTGTACTTATCTATATTGAAAGTGGTACAGGTTGAGAATGCCTAATCTGAAAATCTAAAATCTGAAATTCTCTAAGATCCCAAACTTATTAAACTTCAATATGAAGCCTCTGATGTCAAACAGCAGGTGTCAGCCAAAACATAGGCAGACATACAACACCTGTCACATAAACTTAACCTCCAGGCATGTGGGAGAGGTCTGTAGGTGAACTTTGTGTTTAGACATATGTCCTGTCCCTAGGTCAGCCCCTTATGTATTCATGAACATTTCAAAGCCAAACAGTATCTAGATTTTTCTGTGAACTAAAGTGCTACAGTGAAGAAATACGCAACCCATATTTTTTTTAAGCAACACAAAGAGAGTTTAGTTGTTCACAGTTATCTGTTCATGAAATTAATATTTTCTTAGACAAGTGCTGCTTATCAAAGAAATAGCTGTGACACCATACATAAATATCCATGCCTGTAAGGTCACAGTTGTGTGTATCTTTCACACATTAGCCAATGGGTCAGGAGGAACTGGGGACTGTGGCTGGTAACCAAAGCGCACTGCTTAGTGAGTGCAGGGCTGTTAGAGTAACATCCCAGAGTATCACGTAGTGCCCTGTGTGATCGTGACCTTCAGCCACCATAAATCTTGACACTGTGGCATTCAGACCACATTCCACAGGAAAAGTTCATTCATTGCTGAGGGTCAAAAGAGCCAGTGCCATCAGAACACTCAACATGATGCCTGGATCCTAGAAACTGTCCCCTGCACAAAGTTTGTACATAAACTGCCCGTGTGAGAAACCTATCTGGACACAGAATTGTTTTCTGGTATCTTTTATGCCTCGCCAATGATTTCAAGTACATTTTTAAGATCATAAAATGGACTTTTATGCTAGAAAATATTTCAGCTAACTCCTAAACTTGAGCTACCCACAGCATTTTTAAAAATTCAAATGCCTTACCCAGAAACAACAATGAGCTCACAGACCCTCAACATTTAAACTATTTTAAAATAATAAGAATGGGTGATAGCCAAGAGGAATGGAAACAAAAAGCAAAGCGGTCAGAATTTCATTCACAGGCTAAAGGAATAGCTTTTGAAGTAAAGAAACAACAGACAAAAAAAAGGTTAAAACTCACAGCCACCTTAGAAAATGTGAATCCCAGTAAAACATGTCTTTGTTTGTAGTAAATTAAAACTAACAACAATTCAAGGATAAGTAACACCATTAAACACTAAACAAAGGGTATTCCTGCTATTCCTCAATAATATCTACAAATATGCAGGAGAATTGAATGTTTACATCGTTATAAAAACGCTCAAGTGGAGGGTACGGTTTGATGCATTGAAGTGGCAAGTCTGCTTGGGTCCTGTCTCTGATGCCATAGAGCTACTTTATTGACCCTGCACCAGAGGAACAATGACATGATAATGAGTGGAGTTCTGAAATATTTTGACTTGACAATACTCCAAAGCCCACCATCTCTTATTTTATGTTTCTTTGAGAAAAATGTAAAACCTTGACAGGTTAGTTATTAAAACTCTAAACACTTTGAGGCACAGCCTTTCTTGACAACACATAGAATCAAACAGCTATGCCATTCTCATAAAACTAAGACACCCAAGTTAGGGATCAACTGCTTGTATATGCGTGTATTTTCTCTCTTAGCCATGAAAGCATGCACTCAGAATAAGCAGAGTAATGGAAAGTAAATGGCTGCCCGCTACGAGTGATTAGGGACCCACTAAAACAATCAGTTTCAGTTAGAACTTTAAGTCTAACTGAACGATTATTAAATGATAGAATGAATTAATGGGAAAATAGGATGCTTGTAGGCATCTATTTCCATGGACTAAAGGCTTTCACAAATACCTACTAGATGCCCATACAGATGATATAATAGTATTTTCTTCTCTCAGATAGTATTTGTTATGTCCTACAAAACCATTCTAAGGAAATGAGGTGGGGTTTTGTCTAGGCACCTTGAGCTACGAAGAAGGAAGCAAAAACAGTGTTCATCCAACCAACCACACAAGTCCATATGTGTGTGTTCATCTCACCCATAGACATCAAGGAGCTAGTTGTCATGAGAGCTCATCACCGTGAAGTCTGAAGCCATGTTTCGATGCTTTCTAGACCTTTCAGTCCAAATATAGAGTGCCATTAGCCCATAGCAACTGTGGTGGAACAGGTGTCTTTTCTCACATGTTGAAATTAGAGGACAGTTCTAAAGCCACTCCCGGAGGGAGAAGAGTAGGCTTCTGCTTTAACCCTGAAGTAGGCTGCATCAAAACCACATTAACAGTGCTGAAGGCTCATTCCCTCCCCGTGGTAATGTTTTGTTTTCTCTATTTCCCCACCCCATTATATATTTATGTTTGTGTTTATTTCAGTAGGCTTGCTTGTCCCCTTGTGTTGCAGGGCTGCTTTTTCATTTACATGCTTCCACAGTTTAACAGAGAAGCCCTCTGACACCTGTGTTCATTTGTTCTCAGCTGGTGAATGAACAGCAAGAAAGCAGACCTCTCCTGAGCCCCTCCATCGACGACTTCCTCTGTGAAACCAAATCCGAGGCCATTGCAAAGCCAGTAACGTCCAACACAGCTGGTAATTCATTTCTAACTCTGCTCAAGTGGAGGTCATCTTACCTACAAGTCCAGATCTTTTACTCCAAGGCATTTTGCTAAAGAAGTGGGGGGGGGGGGTATTTGTTTGCTCGTTGCCATGGGCATTTGCATATTGAAACTTACCTGTGGAGGTCAGAGGACAGCTCATGAGAGATGGTTCTTCTCTACAATATGGGTCTCAGGGATTGAACTCAGGCTGTCAGGATTGGCAGCAAAAGCCTTTACCTGCTGAGCCACCTCACCATCCCCTCCTCTAGACATTTTAAGTGGGGACACTTTAAGTATGGTATTTAAGGATGGAAAACCAGAGATTATAGTGAATGGGTGGTGCCAATTAATATAAGAAGACCCTGATCTCTCACTTTCTTCCTAAATTAGTCCCACTTTTCCCCCGTGGCCTCCACTGGCAAGTGTCTTACATTTTCACTACTTGGAATCTTAAGCGAAGAAAATCAGAAAAAAAAAAAAAAAAGAAAAAGAAAAAGTGATGTTTTTCCAGACTAAAAATTACTACAGAAAGAGGAACTAATGCCGGATGGTGGCAGCAGAGGTGGGAGAGTAGATAATCTGAAAGTTTGGGAGGTCAAACCTCATGCATTCTCATCCCAGCTCTGCATCATGGCCAGCTTCAGCTTTCCCTCCACTGTCTGGAAACAGTAGTTGAGCCTCAGCTTCGTTATCTAATGTTAGTATGATCCTTACCTTGTTAGCTACTTGAGAAGATGAATGGAGCCATCTAGGAATGTGTTGACAGTGGTAAACTGTAGCCAGGGAGGTTACCCCCATTGATATCATGTGATAGCATTCTTGACATTTCCCTTTCTGTTGCTTAATATCACATCCAGGTGATTGTTTTCTAAATTCAGCCGTCCTTTGAAGTGCTCAGAGACACAGAATGGGTGCTTGCTGCATTCCAAACAGGAATTCAGACTATGTGATCTGATTAATCCTAACCTCTAGAGCTGAGGGCTAGGCCTTCTGAAACTCCAGAACTATCCCAAAAAATACAGAGCCTGTGTCTCAATGGCAGGCAGGCAATCCCACAAGAATTAGGGCTCTAAGGGAGCTCATCTTCCTCAGTTCCCACTGATGAAGAAACTAAACCACTTAGAAGCAGCCTACCCCAAGGGTAGGCCAAGTCAGGAAACACTGGCTGCATAAACATAAGAACTTGAATTCAATCCCAGAACTCATGTTTAAAAACTAAAACAAGTAGGCATGGAAGCATATGCTTGTAACCCCAGCACTGAGAAGTGGGTACAGGAGGCTCAGTGGGGTTTGCTGGTGTGCCACAAGCAGAGAGAACAGATGACAGAATCATGAATCTCTAAACCTCCTATCAAGGTGCTGGTGGAGCACATCCTGAAGATTCTTGAGAAGATACTGTTCTGGGCCTCTCTAGTTCTTTCTATTGGTCCCTCGTCCCTCGGTTCTAACAGGGGTCTAACGCCAACCTTCACGTGGTATTTTTTGTCTGTGTGCAGATCATATGGTATCTGTCGGCACACCTACCTGTGTCCAAATTTCTCTTTTACATAACGATCACTGTCACCCTGGAATTGTGTCCTGGCCTCCTCCAAAACATCTCATCATTATTCACATTCCCAGTGAGGTGGCCTTCTAAAGGGTGGAGGCTTCTACCTAGGAATACGGGGGTGGGGGACACCCCATTCAATCCATAACATAATATCCTGACTCTTTTCTGCCTTAGAGTGGTTTCCAATCATCCTGTGTTGGACATTTTGTTTTACAAGCTTAGAACTATATCTCAAGGCAAAAATCACTGTATTGTTTAATTCCTAAAGAATGTAGTTCTTCTAAAAATCAATACAAACTAAACAATGTAAGAAATATTTTCCCAAAGTGATGAAATTTTTCTCTAGCAAATTTAAAAAATATATCTTTAGCTTTATTGCTTAATAAGAGAAAATAATTATATATCAATGTTTTTTGTGTTTGTTTGTTTGCTTGTTTTTGCTGTGTTGGGAATTGAACCCAGGGTCTCAAACATGCTGAGCTGTATCCCCAGCCTTCTTTTTACTTTTTTGTTTCTTGAAACACATTCTCACTAAACTGTCCAGGCTGGCCTTGAACTCACTCTGTGACCTAGGCAAATTATGATTTTCCTACTTCCCGGGTAGTTGAAATTATAGCCTGCTGCACCAGACTCAGGAAAAATTTTGATTTAAAAGAAGTGCTGAGATACCAAGTACAGACTGATAACCATAAATGTCCTGAAGTCACTGAACAACAGATAATTTAAATGATTAGATTGTCATACATGTAGTGTGACAAAATTTGCAATATCTTGTGTAATTAACATATGTTAATTGAATAGCTAACAGATGTTAAAGCACAGGACAGATTCTTTGTCAGAAATCAAGAAGAGAAGTGGGGGTCCTTGCTGTGACTCGTGAAACCACACAACAGGGAGATGTCTGAGTCTGAGTGTTAGACAAGCAGTTACTTTGGAAGGGACATTTTTCATACTTTAGAAGTTTTTCATCTCATTCTTTTATTTGGAGTTAATATACCTGTGTGGAACTTCTTACAGAAGGAGATTTACAGGATACATTTGTATGATATTTACCTGGCCATGAAGCAAGTGGTGTGTCTCAGAAAAGCTTGGGAAGCAGGGACTGGAGAAATAGCTCAATTGTTAAAGCACTTGCCAGGCAAGCTAATGTGAAGGCCGGAGTCCTGATCTCCCAGGCCTATTTGCCTGCAGTCCAGCCTCTGCAAGTAGAAACAGGGCCTCCAGAGCAGGATATGAAGATTGACCATACTGGCATCTCTGTGTTTCAGAATAAACAGATAATTCAGAATAAATTATCCTCAATGAATAAGGTGGAAAGGCAATTGAAGACTATTTCTGGTATTAGCCTAGGAATACACATGCACCCACACATACAGAGCATGCACGCACACACGCACACACACACGCACACAGAATATGAGTACCAGCACACACAAGTACATATACACAAGTGGAAAAAAGAAAAACAAGAGGGGGTAAATTCAATGTTGTATTACAATAAATGAGAAAAAGTTGACTTAACTCATTAAATAGAGTTTACATATTTGGTAGCTGTACTTGAGAGGTTTTATGGTTGCATGTCTAAGTCATGCTTTATTATATAGTGTTAATAACACTATGCCTTCCACCAGCTTATCAAAAAAAAAAAAGACTTTTCTTTTTTTGTTTTTGTTTTTTTGACAAGGTCTCACTGTGTGGCCCTGGCTGGCCTGGTACTCAGAGATCTGCCTGTTTCTGCCTTCTTCGTGCTAGGATTAAAGGCAGGTGCCACCACACTGACCTCAACCAAGACTTCCTGCTAGATGCTGTTCTATTCTGTTTTGAGGAGACCATACATTTTTCTATACTTTTGCAGTAGCCTGGGAGAGCCTTCTGGTTTCATAGGCTATCAGCCTCAGGTGTTCTGAACTGATTAGAAATGACTGTTCGTTCGTCTTTTGCCTTCTGTTGTCAGGAAATGTTATACCATGGGATTTGGCTCTCCAAAACAAACAGCCTCAAACACTGCCAATTGCCAAATAACCAAGGGTTTAAGGAGCGAGGGGAGCCACCATCTTAAGAGTCTGCAGACTACCTCCAGGTCTAGGTGAAGTCTAGATAGGCTTAAATGGCATGCTCATGTTTGAGCCTCAGTGGGGACACCCACTGGATTAGCTTCCTGTTACTGCCCTAACAGTGCACCACAAATACAGTGCACCCAGCATGACTCTGTAATTTAAATGTCTGCAAGTCAAAAGTTCTCTGATCAGGACACCATTGGTGATGGACTCCTCTGCGGGTCACAGACGTTCGTCTCCTTGCTTCCTCCCGCTTTAGAGGGCACCTGCCACTGTGGACTCATGCATGCTTCTTCCATTGTCAGAAGCAGCTTGCATCTCAGAGTCATCTTCATAGTCCCCCTCAGCCTCTGGCCCTCCCGGATTGTCCCTATGAGAACTTTTAAGCAATGGGACCCACAACCTATGACCTGTACGTGGTGACTGATAGGGGTCCGGGTGGAAAAGGCTACAAAGGTAAAGCTACAGTATATTTCCTTGGTCCTACACTCACGAATGTGTATACAGACATGCATACTCCGACAGGCATACATACTCCAACACACACTATTGAAGGTCCCACTATTGTACTGGGACCCAAATCTTCCTGTGTCTAGGAGAATGTTTTCAATTGGACCAAGACAGTCAACCCTTCTGGGCTCAGGCATGTCTGCTTTGAAGCACTTGAGCAGCTGAAAGGCCTGGTCATTAAGCCTTGACCACTGCACACTCCACACAAGAGTGAGCTGTCTCCTCCAGGCGCCTAAAGCTGCCATCCTGTCAGCTCCAAAGCCGTTCAGCCTCTCAGACACTGCTTCCATTCAATGGGCAGTGAGTAGGGCCTTCATGCATGTCTGGCCCCAGCTGCACATTTACAGAGAAAACAATGAAAGCATGGAGAACAAACACAGAAGAGGCCCAGTATGCTTCAGAGTGGAGAGCGTGGCTGGCTGGCTCAGACTTTCAGTTCACACTCAGAAGAAGATAGAGATCAACTTAAACCCCTACCAGCTACTGTTTTGTAGCAAATGTCCTTCCAAAACACAAGTTTGTGAATCCTAGAAAATTTGCTTCTGAAAGAAGTCTAGGGGCAAGACGCTAATTCTGAATTGTCCATATAATTGGTAAAAAGGGATATCAAGTTTTCCTTCCATTATAAATAAGGAAGTCTCATTGGGCCTAGAGTCCTTGCCATTCCAATGGTGTCCAGAGTTTTCATATAGGCAGCATATACAGCCCTGTGTTGGCTTAGAAAGCCAATTGAATCCGCTCTGGAAGCCTCTTGCCACCCACTTTCTTCTGACTCACCAAGCAACTTCTTGTTCCTCCCATCTTCTGAAGAAAACTCAGCTACAGCAAGCTGACACCTTCCGGCCATTTCCTAAGTTTACTTCAGAGCATCCTCTGAGGAGGTAAAATCCTTGTCGCTTCTTGTTTTATCCTCAGGAACATTTCTTCTTTCTCTTTCTGTGTAGGTGTGATTGTGGCTTGAAACAGAACAGACAAGAAACCCGGTGAAGACTAAATAAAAGAGGGAGTTGTTGCAATTTGTCTCCTCAAAAATAGAGTGTGTGTATGTGAATGTGTGTGTTTGTGTGTGTAAATGTGTAAGTGTATGTGCGCGCACGTGTGAGTGTGTGTGTATGTGTGTGTGTGTGTGTGTGTGTGTGTGTATGTGTGTACACGTGTGTGTGTGTGTGTTCATGAGGGAGGGGCAGTGCTGGGGATAAACCCAGAGGCCTGTGAATGCTAGGTAAATTTAGGCAAACTGTCCATCAATACACTACTGCCTGAGATAACATTTACTGAGTGAGTACTTAGCACTTTGTGAGTACTAAGTCCTTGTGCTTTGTATCCAGTGGATCATTTAATCTTCATCCCACACTTAGATGACTACTGATTCTCCATTTTCAGATGTGGCGACTGGAGCTCAGGCTGCTCAAGAAACTTACCTCAAGACACCTCAAAAGTATGATGGTTAGGGACTCACGTTTCACCCACACACCAGGAAATCCCCTAGAGATGGCTAGCTCATGTACATATGCAAGAGAGCATCATGACTAAGGAAACACCCCCTTGTGCACTCAGTAGAGTTCTGCCAAGGGGGAAGCAGATGGAACGGCACTGAGCTGTCAATCACTCCCAATCTCCACCCAGCGGACAGGCTGAAAAGTGATCGACTTGTGAATGGGGAAATTGGGATGGTGGTTGCTGTGGACTGCAGGGAGGGTCAGCTTGGGTCTCCACCACCCACTCTTGCATATCCCAAGCTGAGGGAAGACTCCTAGGAAGCCAGCAGGCTGGTAGCACACTCAGCTTCTCCAGCCCAACTTGAAGGAGCTGGAGGGACTGTGTCTCCCCTCCGCTTTCTGTTTCTCAGGTAGAGCTAGTCGCATATGAGTTGTCTGTCCTGGAAAAAGAACTGGTTGCAAGGCTGGCCTTATTGATTCTGCTTTGCCTGGGTCGGCGTATTACTTCTACCTCCATTGGAGTACTCAATACAATGAAACCAACCTGCTAGGAAAGGGCTGCTAAGTCCAATCATTCTATAGCTGCTTAGAATTGCAATGGGTATATTAAATGTTAAGGGATCAGCCTGTGTACCTCTTCATTGACCACATTATAAAACCCCTCTCCTGTGAGACCCAAATGCATGTGATTTTTATGACCAAACTCTGCCCAATTCAGTATAAAAAAAAAAAATGATGCTAGCCTTCCTGAATACCCCATTTTCTGGGGAAAAAAAATTCTAAAACAAAGTTTCCCTAAAATTAATCAGAACAATCGAGAATCCATACCTGAACTGATATTTGTTTTATTTTCATCCTAAACATTCTCACTGCAGAGGTGGGTCTAGGTAATTTTTGCCTTGAGTAAGCTGGCTTCCCACTCACACAGACAGCCAACCGTCAGTGCTGACCCTAATCCGTCCTACCAACATAGAGGCACCATGCACCCAACTAACACAGTTATTTTAGAAACAGATTACTTGGAACTGGAGAGTTACCTCAGTCGGTAAAGTGGTTGGCTTGTAAGACAAGGTTCTGGGTTCCATCCCAGAAACCATGTTTAAAGAAAGGAAAGGGGAAGAAGAATGGTCATGGTAGTGTGATCCTAGCCCTGGGCTAGTAAGAGAGGCAGATCTTTGGGACTCAAAGGCCAGCCAAACTAGCCTACTTATCCAGGACAGCGAGAGACCTCTTCTCAAAAACAAAATGGACAGCACCTGAGTACAACACCTAAGATTGTCCTCCGACTTCCACACATGTGTGTGTCCCACCCACACCCTTGACTGTGCATACACACATATATACAAACACACAGACATACAAAAATAAATGAATAAATAGTAATAACTACAGGAAGTAAATGGGCTTCTCTTTACTTGTTCTGTCTCCCATAGTGTTGACCACTGGCTTGGATCTCCTTGACCTGAGTGAACCCATCTCTCAGACTCAAACCAAAGCCAAGAAATCTGAGTCCTCATCAAAGAGCTCATCCCTCAAGAAGAAAGCTGATGGCTCTGACCTCATCAGTGCAGACACTGAGCAGAGAGCACAGGCTCTCCGAGGACCGGAGACGTCATCCTTAGATTTGGGTAAGGCAGAGGTTTGCAGCAGCTATGGTTTAACCTTGTCTTATTGGTGCTAACATGACAATCAAGTCCACATATGACTTTAAAACAGGGAACAGATGTGTCGGAAAGATAAAGTTCTTTCATGGAGCTGGGAAAACTGTAGCATCTTTTGTGCTTGAACTGAGTAGCCATGGAAGCTCAGCTTCATAAAACGGATGTTGATTCATTCACTTACATGCCCCTCCAAAGGGACTGAGCTTGTGGTGGGTGCCAGGCAATCCTGTAGGCTCACGAGCTAATTAAAGAAAAATGTGCATCTTGTTCTCTATGAATTCTCAGTTTAGAATGAGAGAAACAAGGGAGACAAATCAGAGCATCACATGACTTGGGGACATCCAGACAAAGCAGTCCTAAGATAATGTCCAGGATGATGGTGATAGTTATTAATACCTTTCACTGTTGGCTTGCAATATTCAGGAACTTCTCTAAATCATTACATGTTTTACCTCATTATTACAGCCCTGAAATATGTGAAAACCTGACTTTAAAATTTAACTTATCCACAGCTGGGCATGGTGAAGCATGCCTGTAATCCTGCCACTCAGGGAGGCAAAGGCATGCAGTACTCTGTGAATTTGAGACCAGCCTGGTCTACAAAGTGAGTCTAGGAGAGCCAAGGACACAGAGAAACTCTGTCTCAATAATAATAATAATAATTAACTTGTCCAAGATCTCACAGCTAGTAAGAAAAAGATCTGGAAATGTGCACCTGGCCATAGTTAGCATCCAAGCTCATACTTTTATCTACACCCCTAAGAAAAGACAGTTTATTTCTCAGTTCATACAACCAGACAAAACAAACAAAAATGACTCTGTGCGCACACACACACTTCTGTGTATCATGCAGATTCATAAAAGTAGTCCTTGAAATTAATTATACTTGGTTGCTTCAACTCTAAAAGCAATCCAACTTATCTTAATAAGTTTTGTTTTTACTTAGCTACATGCGTTTTAATTCATTTTCATTTGCTCTTACGAAAATAAATGCTGGCCTTCCATCTTGTATGCATGGACTGAGTATAGTTTGCCTGGAATCTCAATCCTTGTCAATTTCTTTTTTCTGTGCACCCTCATGTTGGTCCTGGGCTTTCTTCTCCACTTTCTTCATCCTTAATAGACATTCAAACACAACTGGAAAAATGGGATGACGTCAAGTTTCACGGTGACCGGACAAGCAAGGGGCATCTCATGGCAGAGAGAAAGTCATGCTCATCTAGAGCAGGATCCAAAGAGCTCCTGTGGTAAGATGCCCTCATTCCACACAACAGCAGCTTATACTGACTTCACATCTGGAAACGGCTGATGAGCTCAGTTAATCCAGACACCTGAGGAGTCTGGCTTAAGATAGAAGCCAAGATTCAAATAGAATCATAATCTTTTATATGCTATCACTTCCACCAACCACTTTGACTGAGCTTTTTTCTTTTATAAAGCAAATTTAATCAGAAAGAATTTGAAGAGATTCTGGTTTGATAATTTTAATAATTTTTCTAATGTGTAGCTAAGCTGTCAGCTAACAGAAATGCACATGAGTATTTGTGTGGGGGTGTGTCTAATGTATCATTGTATCAATGGTGGTCACGTTGTTTCTGGTTGAACAGCTTTCCTGCTCTCAATCATCCACTGCCATTCACTGTAGTAATTACAGATGAGTCATGGACACTCAGGAAAGGATGAGGCCACTTGGCTTTTACCAGGTGTCTTAGTTACATTCCTATTGCTGTGATGAAACACCATGAAAAAAAAAGCAATTTGGGAAGGCAAGGGTTTAGTTCACCTTAGAATTCTCAGGTCACAGTCCAGCACTGGGCCAGGAGCACTGCTTCCTCACTTGCTCTCCTGCCTTGCCTCAGCCTGCTTTCCTGTACAACCCAGGACAACCTTCCTGTGGGTTACACTGCCTACAGTGGGCTGGACCCTCCCATATTAATCAAAAACGGAGAAAATTTCCTACACACCAGCCCACAGGCTAATCTGATAGAGGCAATTCCTCAACTGAGATTCCCTTTTCCCAAATGACTCTAGTTCTTGTCAAGTTGAGTAAAACTAACCAGAACACCATGTTTTTAAAGATTTGAAAAGGCAGCCTTCTATTTCTGCCTCCTTTGCCCTCATACAAATTCCCATATTGTGACAATCCAGATCCATAGAGATCTACCTTATGACACTGTCTCCAAGAAGAAGAGAACACTATTTTTTTCAAAATATGGGATTTCCTATAAGAAAAATGGCAACTTATTCACATCCTCTTTGCCCATAATTCAACTGGATCCTAAGTTACTAAAAAACAGTTATAGCTAGCAGGTAATTCATAGCTGTTTAAATTCTGGAAGAGGCAATTATGGAGGAAACTTAGAGAAGTTTGTTTCTGTCTGAATTGTGGCCAGAGCCTGGCTCCTGGCCGGGTTTCTGGCTGAGCTTGTTCTTGCTGTGCATAAATGCCCTCAATGTCTCACTGCAGGTCCTCAGAACACAGATCTCAGCCGGAGCTGAGTGCTGGGAAAAGTGCCCTCAACTCCGAGTCAGCTTCCGAGTTGGAACTTGTGACTCCGGCACAGGTAACAAAAACAACTTTTAGGAAACCCGTCTGCTCTAACAGAGACTGCATCGTAAATATTTTATTTAAATTTTGCACAGAAAGTTTGAAGTGTTTTTCCGAACTTTGCATTGCAAAGTGTGTTCACACTCCATAGCTGTCTCGGTGCTTAGAATAACTGATTGTATACACTTCCATGTATTTGGCTGGAAAACGTGTTAATGAATTCACTGTGTACTTAGCACATTTTCCTTGTGCTGCCATTGACTGTCCCATTATTTGGCAATACAAAAATCTGCTCTAGTCCAGTATTAGCACTACTTATGTAATAGAACGCAAAGAAAAGGAAACGACATTCCAAGTATTCATTCACATCTTTGCCTTGTGGAGTAAGCTACTGAGCCCAGTGTTCTGTCACATTAGAATAAGTGTTATGTCACGGATTATGTTATTCTAGCACCAGCGGTCATGGTGGGCACAGTGAGAGCTACCACTGTGAGCGTCCAGGAGGGCGAGCCATCAAGACTGACTGGGAACTTCTCTTGTGTTAGAGCTAATACTCAGTAGTCCTGTCCATCGCTCTAAGCCTCATCATAAAGACCCTTCTCACAGGGATCTGGCAGACTCCGTAAAGTCAACCCTGACTTGCTGGGATACAATAGCAGGAAGAAGTAGGATGTGAATTCTGTCTTTTGATCCACTGCTTGGCCCTGGGCTCTTCAACGGCTTCACCACAGCTACCTCCCTGGCTACCTCCCTCTCCCACAGTTCTGAAAGAAGTAATGATGCTCTCTTTATGTCCCTGGGGCGTGTTTTAAGGCCTTGCCCTTCCATCACAAAGATCTCCTAAGAACTATGTGTGCACATTCCTGCATTCTACAGACCAACTGCAGTGAGACTAGATACAGAGGAAATGAGCAAAAGAAATGTTCTTGAATTTGCCACATCACATATTGTGACCCACACAGGGAATGTAGATCTGAAGTGAAAGAGGGGTATAATCTGGGCTGTAGCACTGACCCAGCAGTAAGAACACGCAGTTCTTGCAGAGGACCTAAGTTTAGTTCCAGCACCCAATGTTGAACGGCTCACAGAAAGAAAGATTGTAAGAAAGATTCAACTCTTTCTTCTGGCCCCACAGGCACCCACAAAAATGGGTGTTATTGTTGACTATGAGAGTTTCTAATATAAATCAGAACTGATCTAGTCCTGACAAAAGGCAAAACAAGCTAAACTCCACCATTGCCCCACTCGACAGACAGGGAAACAGTGAAGTGAAGAAAGTTGTTTGTGGACCCACAACTAGAAAGTGTCAGGGAGAAGGACCCAGACAGCCAATGATGGTGGATCTCTAGGAATTTTCCAAGCCACCAGCTGTCTCCCTACAGATTCATCACCCTCAGGAGAAGGGACATGGCTGTTCCCAGACCACAGCTGGACATCCACTCAACTCACTTCAACCTGAACACATCATCTCACAGACTTTAATGAATTGCAAATGTAGCATGGAAAATGAATTTTTTGGTGCTCACTTTAAATGTACCTTAAGAGGAAAATGACAGCATCCATTAGAAAAGCAGTATTCATAGGAGCATGAGCGAGCTCCCCTCAGCTCAAGTAATTGGTGCTGCTTCACATTTCATCCACTGCCTTCCCTGGAACAGTGCAATGCAGGGACAAAGCATTTGTTTTGAAGCAGGGAGAGACTTGGCACAGGTGGGCCATTCTACAACCAGCTGGGCCAGAAGAACAGCTGGGGCCCCCAGTTGCCATAGAAACCCACAATGCATTTATCTTAGTATCCCAATGACTACTAATCTCCTGCTGGTCCGTTAATTCCATCCCACCCCACTGTCCTGCAAACACAGTGCACTCTGGAAGACTGTTTATGAGCTTCCTTATGTTGCCTTCCAAAATACGCCTTCCAATTCCCCGTGAGAGTGAGTCCTCTGAGATACTGAGGAAGGGAATGACCTCCTCTGTTACTTTTCTAGACGTTGTATGTTTACTTATCAAGGCATGCCTGAAACAATCATACTCTTCTAGTGTTAATTCCAATCCATAACAAAAGAAGAAAATGTTCATGAAATGCAGGCTTGATGCTATACCTGAAACATGGAGTCTTAGAAACAAAGCAGGAAGAGAACCATTCAGGCTCTTCCAATATTCATCTCAGATCCTTACTCTTAGAAAAGCTGTCGGCTTCCATGTCAGTTCAACAAATGTGCATGGACATCTACTGTCCTTACAGACATAAGCAAGGCAGGAAGCAGGACTCACAGGCTAGGTTATAAGATACATTTAGAGGACTCCAAATTGGCATACCACAGAGATTCTGCACACCCATGTTACTGAAAGGCTATTCATGATAGCCAAGTTACAGAATTACCTGGATATCCATCAGCAGACAAATAAGGAAAATGTGGTACATACACCATTGAGTATGCATAATAAAAACAAGGAAAGACTGCTGGGAAAATGCCCATCAAAGCACTTGTTTTGTAAACACAAGGACTTCAGTTCCATGTTTAAAAAAAATGGTCTTGATGGTACACACTTAACCATTCTAGCACAAGGGAGGTGGAAACAGGAGGAGCCCTGAGGCTCACTTGTCAGTCAGCCTGGCCTAAGTAGCAGGCCAAATGAGGGAGCTTGCCTCCAAGAGCAAAGTGAATGGAACATGAAGACTGACACTTGAGGCTGGCCTCTAGCCCGCACATGCACACTTGCATGCACACAGAAGAAAGATGTGTGTACTGTTAGAAACTCGCTGCTCACCACTGCATGGCCTCTTCATGTAGATTCAGGAGAATTAATATAGGACAGAATTTCATCTAAAGACTGACTCAGAAATCATTCAGACAAGCCATTTTGACTCACCAGGGCCTGCTCCGCGCTCAGCCAGATGGTTCACAGCAAAACCAGGGAAATGGCTTCTTCTCCCTCAAGCCAACCTAAATTATCCCAGGCAGTGACTCAACAGGTGGGGAGCTATTTACAAACCTCATTTAAAAATCATATTTCAGAATCACAAGAAAGTGGGAACACGTAATATGAAAACTTGTGTTTTCTCATTTTCCTTTCAAGATGGGGGAAAGAAAGCATGGTATGATCTCAAAGGGTGCCTTGAATACAACAAAGAAGCGAGTGATTACAATGAGTTACATAATCACTGTGGACTAAAGGGCACAGTTCTTGACACCTAACCCAAACTATATAGTTGTCATTCCACACACATAACTGTTTAACGAGATCATACCATCTGAAAATAATATATAATATACAATATATATATATGTATATATATATATATTTAAAAAATTAAAAATATATATATATGTGTTTAAAAATTTTGAAGGGCTGAAGAGAAAACAAAGGGAAAGGCTGCAAAATTCGCTTTTCCAGTCTGGGTAAATATCGCTGCGGAGGCAAAGGGTGAGACTACAGCTTGTTCTGCAAACATGATCCAAGCACTTCCTTCCCCTTCTGCACACTGGAAGCGCCAAGTCCGGCTCAAACCTCCGACTGAACAGCGTTTGCAGGTGCTCCAGAGGCAGACCATAGTCACGTAACTCGCAGATGACCCACTCCAGCACAGCAGAGCTTTCCCACGAGCCGTCGCTGCAGGCCATGGTCACATGAATCGCAGATGGCCCACTCCAACAGAGCAGAGCTTTCCCACGTGCCGTCACCATGTTTTTCATGCACAGTGAAATGCCCACTGTAACCTGAGGTTTTATATTATCTCCACCTTTCATTGAAAAGTAAAAACTATTCCCCCAGAGTTCTCCATCTAAGGAGGAAAAGAGCCGGGATTCAAGTGGCGCCCGTTAAAATCTGTGAAGCCCTTGTTCTTAACCACTGAGGGTGTCCTGGCATCATCCACCCAGGCTGCTCACCTGAGAGAACTCATAAGCCATTGTTACTTTTATTATTGCAAAGCCCAATTATCATTTAATTCTGTTGGAGGAATGTGAGTTGAGCAATGTTCAAGAATGTCTGTTACTTTCTTACAGAAACTTCATAAAACAAAATGAATTGTTCTGTATACAATTCATTCTCTTCCCAAATTCATCTCATATCCTTACTTTTAGAAAAGCTGTTGGCTTCCGTATCAGTTTAACAAATGTGCTTGGACATCTGCTGTCCTTACAGACATAAGCAAGGCAGTAAGTAGGACACACAGGTTAGGTTATAAAATAATTTTAGAGGAATTCAAGTCGGCATACCACAGAGATTCTGCACACACATTACTGAAGAACTGCTCATTATAGCCAAGTTACAGAATTATCTGGATATCCATCTGCAGACAAATAAGGAAAAAATGTGGTACTTACGCCATTGAGTATTATTAAGCCACTAAGAAACGTGAAAATCTGTCATCTACAGGAAAATCAAAGGAACTGGAGATCACCATGTAAAGTGAAATAAGCCAGAGTCAGAAAGACACATCTCAAATTTTCTTCTCTCATATGTAGAATCTAGACTTAAAAAAGGTTTGAAAAAAGAGGCAAAATCTTTGGGAAGAGAAAGAAGGCTAGTGATATGTGGGAGATTAAAGACAAGGTCAAGTAGCAGTGAAGTTTATAGACTCTAATGCTCTACACACTTCATGAAGAAATGGCTGGACCTAAGTTTTGTTCCGAGTAACCATGCTGAGAGGCTCACAACCACCTGTAACTCCAGCTATAGGCCAATGGGCTCCATAGGCACTAATGAACACACACACATACACACACCTCATTTAAATAATTTTAAATATACAGAATACACATGTATAAATGAGAACATGGTCATGAAACCCATTCTTTCATACAATGAATATACACTGATAAAACAGGAGTGTACTCAGAGAAGTATTAAGCCTCTATGTCTCAGGAAAATAATCTAATCTAATGCTATATAAATACTCATTATTCTGTCTATCAGAAATTATACCTAATCTCTTTCCTCTGCATGCCACATATGATGAACAGTCACTGGAGTAAGATGGAAACAAAGATGGGAGAAAAAGATACAGAA